AGTTCAGATTGATGTTTTTTGTTAACCAATTGACCAATTGCAACTGGTAAGTATTTTATAACACAACTACATAACAATAACAATAACGGTATGATTTGTATGATCATTTGATAATATATAAAATTTATTGTTTTGTATGCTATTCAATTCATATTGGTTTATTGTTCTGTATTTGGCTAAGCCATATCACATTTGATCCACCCATCAGGACGATCAGCAAAACGTCGTAAAGTAGATGGTGCCACACCTGCCATCTCTACTTCTGCTGACCCAGAACATGAACCAGAAGCTCTGGATGAGGTTTTCAATCCCGAACTGGATGATGCATGGACTGCTACATACCAAGCAGAGCCTAATTGATTATTATTATAAGCTGTGGTTTGTAAAGTTTATTTTATTTTTTATAGTAGTTTAAAGTTTAGAGTTTATATTATATATATAGTTAATTTTTTATACCATGATAATCAAACTTATATAATATATATATACATATGGTTTGATATTGTTTTAATATCGTATTTGTTTACATTGGTTGCATTACATATGTATATGATTTGATTTATTTATTTTATATTTTTTTATGTTGGCATCTTTGTTGATCTTAGAGTTCGTATTATCTTAACATATATATAAAAACAATAACTATATACATAGTAGTTAATTATATATCTATAATATATGAATATTCATCCAATATATATATATTAAATATTTAGTTAACGATTTAAATATATTGCTTAATAATTTGTTTACAATCGCTCGTTATGTTGATAGTTTAACTATATATAATAATATATATTTAGCATTTTGATATTATAGTTTGTTATAATTAAAAATATATTGTATTTAGTTTTGATTATTAATGAAATAATATAATTATAATTATATTTATGTTCTGTTGTAATTAAGTATAATAAGTGATTTTTTTTAATGATCGAATATTGAATATTGAATTGTTTGATCTAAGGACCATGGAGCATGTGTCCTTCAGCGTGAAGCGAGCAGCACATATTCAGCTCCTGCACCCTCATCATCAGCAAGACCAAACGCATCAGCACCAAAGCCGACTGGACCACGTTTTGTTAACATTGGGGCAGAGTTCCAGGTCTGTGACGCTGCTGGCAATGTCGAGATCATTCAGAAACCAGATGGGCGTATATATGTACCAGATCGTACAGCACCAATAGGTTGGGAGTATTAAACTAATATTTTTGTTTTATTATTTTTACTATATGAATGTATAATATATTCATCAATGTTGTAAATTTCAATGATATTAATCGAAACTATATTAATACTAGTGTATTTTTATGATTTTTGATCACCATTACAACTCCATGCACATAACCCTTAGGTCGATTGACTGAGTTCAAGATTGATACACCCGGCCACAGTGTGAGCATGCAATGCAGTTTACACTCCAAATGTCGAAAGGTTATGCAACTGAAATCATTGCCATCAACGTTTCAGGATACTTGGTTGATTATGTAATATGTTTTCATGGTTTATATATTTTGTTTTATTATGTTTACAATGTTCCATGTGATATATATAATAAAATATATGATTTTTGTTTCAGGCAGATGCATTGCGATGGCTGAAAGCGGGCATGGAATTAACTGATCGAAAATCGGCTGATGAACATATTGCACTGTTCTTTGGATTGACTTTGAACTATTTTGTTAGCTATTTTTCTTTGTTGATTTGATTGTTGATAATATATAATATAATAATTATAATATATAATTATTATTTAATTGATTATTACTATACATGGTATTTTTTTTTATCAGGGGTTCGAATCAATCTGAGGTTCAATTCATTTGTGATGACGGGCAAGCTTTGAGCAATGTATGTTTCACAAACTTGCAGAATTGGCATCGTGATCCCTAAAACACTTTATGTACCAGCTGAGTGTACCTCTTAGGGATGTCACATGTGTACCACCGTACCATTGTACCAGTGTACCAGTGTACCCCAAACTATTGCACCAATGCACCAGTGTACCGTACCAACTTTTGTTAGCAAAATCATAGGTTTTCATAGCAATATTGTTATGAAAACTATAGTTTTTGTCATCAAAATTGGGTACGGGTACGATTCAGTACAGGGTACGGTACGGTACGGTACGGTACGGGGGGTACGGTACGGTACGGTACGGTACGGTACGGTACGGTACGGGGGGGGGGGGGAGGGTACGGTACAGTACGGTACAGTACGGTACAGTATTGATATAAAGCATATATATGGGTACATGTACTGGTAACTGTATTGGTACGTTACATTGGTTCTGTTTATATTCTGTACAAATGAATGTAATTATATTGTTAACTCGAACGTTTATATTTTCTTGGGCAGTTCGTTTGGGTTCAAAGGGTTCAATCTTACGAGTGCTTGCAATCTTCATTGCCTGCGATTGGTGACCAATGCCAAAATCCATCGCATCGACGGCTGCCCCAGACCTACCACATGATGTAGACCTACCCACAGAGTACAAGGCATGTAGTCCAAAAAGTCCAAATACGAATTGATTAACAAATGAATTAATTGTATATATATATATATTGTATTATAGTTATATTATATTAATGTTGAATATTATATAATAATATAATATATAATTTTATTGTATATTATATTATATTATATTACATTATATTATATTATATAACATTATATTATATTATATTATATTTTATTATATTGTATACTATTATTATATTATAATTATATTATATATATTATATGTTTTAAAATATTGTTATATAAGATAATGTGTTTTGTTCACGGTCAGGCAAAGCGATGCAAATGGTGCAAGAATTGGTCGTCATCTTTGTGTCCATGGCCACTTCAGAACACTGTGCTGTCGGCGTGGTCTCCGCTGCTCCCATGGCACCGTGGATCCCGAAACAAGCCCATCGGAGACGCCTGTAAGGTATGTATGGTTGTATCTTGTATGTGCATAGATTGTATATGATATTTTTTTTGTTATTTTCTCTAAGGGATATTTAATGATATTAGTTATATTTTTATTTTAATATATATATATATATTATATTATGTTATCATTTAAATATAATTTATAATATACATAATATATAATAGTATAAGTGTTTTTGTAATATATATATAGTTGTTTATATGCATAATTAATATATATTTCAATCCTAAGAGATTATTTTTTTTATGTTTGTCAACAACATGCATCAGGTCTGGACTCAAGGAGGTTATGAAGCTGAATATGCAGCTGAAGAGCGCTTCCACAAGTGCTGCGATTCCAATCCGACTTTGCTGCATTCATTCCTGGAACCTTGTATTTTGTTCATTAATTTATATGTTTTGAATTTTGAATATTACATTGGTGCATTTGTGCTAACTGATGTTCTGAGTTGATGGGCTGAGATTCTGGGGTTATGTATATACTATATATAATATATTTTCTAGATTATATTATATATTAAATCAACATACTGCTATTGTAATATATATATACATACATATTTGTGTGTTTTTAATATTTATACATACATGAGGACAAGAGATCTGCCGTCATCCGAATGAAGAAAGCAGATCCGAATATGCGTTTTCGTGTCGAAACCAATTTGGGACCTGCAATGTCGCTCACATCATCGAAATCCAGCGAACAGGGCCTTGAGGCTCCAGAGGTTTTCTGGGTGGAATTGAGTGAGTATGAGCAAGAGTTCGGAGCTGCAAATCCAGACGATATCGTGGTAGAGACAGTCGATGGAAAAACTGTTCAAGGCGTACCTACACTAAATTTAATATGCTTGTATGTTTTTGATGCTCAATAAAATATAAATTATTACTTGATTATTTTATTATATTTTATTTCTGATTAATTATGGAAACAATATATGTTTTCAGCATTTTATTATTATATGTGTTTGATTATTATTTGATATGTAATATATATATAATATGTAGTATTATATATAATTATATTAATTATAATATTTATTATTGTTGTTTTTTGTTTTAGTTAATTAATTATAGTATTTCTTTAATATAATATTTATGATGTTAAATATAATATATATTATATTGTTAATATATATATATATGAATATATGAATATTTTAATATATATATATATATTCATATATCATTGCGAGATCTGAGGTGAATGTGATGACTGGTCGCAAAGGATGGCATCGTCGTATCAACAAATCGTCCACCCAGGTGAAGCGGTCAGCTGAGTTCAGCGATGGTGTTGCTATCGATGATGGTGCTGGCATGGACAAGCTTGAGCAGGCCATCAAGAAAGCGACTTTGAAGTCCACCAAGATTGCTAAAGTTGCAACCTTCCATCATACTGGATCTGCTGGATCTACTTCTGATTGTCGGGTTTTTTCGGTCATTCATTAATATTTTATTATATACTAATTTGGTTTATTTATATAACTTATAATTTATATTTTATAATTATAACTATTTGTATTAATATTTCTGAAACATTATAAATTTAGTTTTTTTTTTTAATGTTTGTTTTTTTTTGTTTTTATTTTTTGTTAACACATCAAAACAAATAAGGTTGGTGCAGAATCACATCGAGCACATGATGAATCACATGAGGATATGCATGCAGGCGTGGTATATAGTATATATTCTTCGTTGTGTTAACACATATATCATTAGAATCATTAGTATAGTAATGTATTATTGATAACGTAAAGTTATTTAATATAAATGTCTGATTTATTCTATGTATATTTATATAATTAATTTATGATTGTAGTAATGTTCAACTTTCAAATGATAATTTTATAATATTATAATGTATAATACTTTTTACTATTATCCATACAATATTATATAATATTTTTTTTGATATATTTTAATTTATATGTGTTTCTATGCAATGTAATTATTTATAAAAAGGGAGTATATTATTGATTATAATAAAATTTTTATCCTTCATCCTTGCAGGTGAGTCTGATCCTGACCGCACCAATGATCAATCTGATGATTCCGATGATGATATGCCGGGGGTGGGCTTGAGCAACTTTCTGAAGAGCTTCAATGCAGCGTCCAGTTCGAGATCGTTAGATGCACCTTCGTCCACAGCAGCACCCAAATCAAAGGCCGCTGCCAAGCCCAAGGCTGCATCCGTCAAGGCCAAGGCCAAACATAGTGGTCCAGCAGCTTCATCGAGTGATGGTGCATCGCAAAAGGTTGCTGTTGGAAATGCAGGAACTGTTAGCTCCAAGCGCAAAGTTGTTGTCGTTGATCCCTTTGTTGCTGGTGGTGATGATGCTTCAACATCCCCCGAGAAGAAGAAGTTACGTGAAGTGGATGACCTTACCGAGGCTGATGCCAACACAGTGCAGACCTTCAATTCCAAGCTTGATCCTCTCAAACTGGTTGGCCCACCAATCGCCGATGCTGCCTTCAAGACTTACATGACAGACCAGATCCAGAAGGCGACTCAGCTGATCACTGAACTCCGCATCAAGAAGAAATCAGCAGATCGGAGGAATGGTTCCAAGACCAAGACCAACAAGGCAGACATTATGTTTCTGGAGAAGCTGACGGAAGTGGAGACTGAAGTCAAGGAGGTGCAAAAGTTGCTTAGATGTGGCTTGGATATAATTATATTATATATATATTCATAATATGTTTTCATTTTATTTATAAAGCTTTAATTATTATTATCATTGTTATTAATTAATATAATTTATAATTTATATGTTATTACATTATTTAGTAGTATATTATGTAATAGTTTATGTGAGGAATGTATTTGTAATATTTTTTTGTGGTGCATACTTTTATAATATATTATATACACTATAATATACTTTGATGTATATGTTATACAATAGATAATTTACTAATATAATATATTTAATTTCATTATATATTCTATATGTTAGTAATTATTATCGTATGCTTATGATTATATTAATCAGCACATAATGAATATTATATTATATTATATTATTATGTTATTATATAAATAAATTATTTAGAATTTAGAACATATGATATATGTATTAAATTTTACATATATTTTTGCATAACATCTTAGCATTCTGTTAGTATAAGTGTTCTAAGTTGTAACTTTATTATGATATTATATGATATCATCTTGATATATTTGATTTATCAACTATAAAATAACTAACTATTTGATTAAGATTCAACTTTCAACTAAGGTCTCGCCGGGCAGATTTCGTTGGATGCAGATCGAACTCTCCTTCAAGCTCTTGATGAAGCTGCCTCCAAACGTAACATGTCATTCAATTCGTCTGTCATCAGAAAGGCGTTGAAGATTGCCATGTATGACAACCTGAAACTTTGCCAGTTCAACGAAATGGCCAATGAGACATACGAGTTGATCAGTGCCCGATTCATCACTGACGATGACAACACCAACGTGACATCCGATGACTTTTACTCGATGGTCTGCGGGCAGGTCTTGCAAAAGCTTGCAAAGACTGCACAATCCAAAGTTCGCAGCAAGGACATATCATGGTGATTATGTTATTTAAAAATTTCAAATTTTAAACTTTAAACTTTAAACTATAGTTTCGATTTTGTTTATTGGTTTGTGATTTGATATTCATATTTTTATAATTTTTATTATTAATATAACTACTCAATATATGAAATTATTAATTTTGTGATCATTTGGTTATTCACACATAACTTATCTATTGATTATCCTATGTTAGAACCCTTCAGGAGCCAATCTTCGCGCCTTGCAACAAGAAGGAGACATCTTTGATGGATCAGTTCTTCACAGCGTTGGTATCGAGTTCCAAGATTCCCACGTCACTTGGTGGTGATGCTCAGGATTTGTTGAACCTATTGAAGGCCGAAGTGAACAGTGTCACAGCTGTACGAGTATCGCTTGACAAGATGAATCAGCAGAAACTTGGCTTCCCACTTTATTACATTTTACCTTTACATTTTTTTTAGTGTATATTTGTAAAACAAATATGATATTATATACTAATATATGTTTATAATTAAACTACTAAACTAGTTATTTTTTTCATGATGTTCTATGTATGTAAGTATGTAAGTATAGACTTATTATTATAATGCAATGTATTTAATAAACAATTGGTGAAGACAAACATATTCTTAAGATTCAATATTGCAATTAAAATTACATGGTTATTATTATTATATTACTATTTATTTATATATTTAGGTATATGTTTGTTTATATTTTTAGTAAATAATAATAATTATAAACATCATAAACAATATAATATAGCACAACATTACAATAATATTGTATGTCACTAACCAACATAATAATTACATCCTATATACATATTATGCAACGATGTGCCACACGCCCAGGACCAATTCAGATGCGAGCAATGGACCGCTCAGTGGGATGTTGCTGGGTACTACGCTTGGAACCAAGCTGGTCGGGGATGCACAACTGGCTCTAGAAGCACGTTCAGTGGACACTGAGATGACAGAGAATCTTGAGCGCATCTTTGCAGAGCTACCTACTATGTACTCCAATCTGGAAGGCTGCGATGAGTCCACCATCAAAGCCAAGTGACTTGGATATATATATATATATTTTTTGTTTAAAAATATTATATTATTATGTTATTAAATATCAAACTAAATATATATATATGATGAATTATAGTTAATTAATCAAATAATCATATTGTAAACTCGATAACATTATGATCATAAGCTAACTATATTAAATATTAAATATTAAACTATTTAACATACATGGATTATGTATCAATGCTATGTAACGATCATATTGAATTGTGACAATTATTAAATATATATATATAATAATATATATATATATATATCAAAATTTAGTCTGATGATATTGATCGATTATATTTTTAATTCATAATCATAAACAATATATTATATCGTAATATAAAATTACGTACTATGTGTCATTAATTATGTTTCAATTTCAATATATCAATTATCAATATTAATATTATTTTTTAACAAATAGTTAATTTGTTTGTTATATATTTTTATATATATTTATTAGTTTTGAATTTAAACATAACATTAATATATATCATTAGTGTTTTGTTCAATTATTGTTTTCAAGTTTAAATTTTGAGGTTTAGTTTTAAGTTTAAGTTTTAATTTAGTTGTATTATATTAGTTTCATAGTTTCCTTCAATGTTTTTATTTTTTGAACCTTGAGGTGTTCATCGTTGTCTGAAGCTCACAACACATTGATTGAGTTCATGAAGAACAAGCAGCGTGTCAAGTCTTTGGGCAAGGATGGCTTGAGCAAGAAACAGACATCACTTCGGAATGCTGCTGCACTTTTGATGATGCACTCGGCGATTCACGATGTATCTTTATGATCATTCAGTATGTGGTATTGTTGTAAACAAACTATATAATATAAATCAACATTGATCATATTATATTATTTTTGTTATATGAAATGAAAACATTCATATTCATGATTATTTACACCTTGAATCATAGATATATTTCGACAATAAATTATTTTACATTTTAGTTTTACATCATTATAGTAACCATAGAGTACATACAATGTTCTCATCAATCAAGGTCAAGCCCTGGTTGACGGATGCATCGGCGTCTATGACATCAACTCAGCTGATTTCCGAGCTCACATGCAAAGCAGTGCAGGACCTGATCAAACTACAGGACTTTGCTACATTGAAGGCAGTGATGTCTTCGTCGAGCGCTTTGTCAAAGGCATTGGTTACCATCAAGAGCCAGACCGGTGATGATTCTGGCAGCACTTCAGCTTTGAACATTGCATTGTCTACGTTTACCATCGCAGTGAAGAACTTCGAGGACCTACACAGTTAAAAATGCATATTTTATTTTTATTATATGTTTATTTAAGTTTATTTATTTATTTATTTTATATTTTTATTTATTATATATATATTGTGCAACCGTAACTTTATGATTCATTCGGTTTTGTTCTTATTATATTATATATTATTTATATATATATATTATATAATATATATTAAATTTAACTTATAATAAATGATAATATATTATTGTATTATATTAAATTAAAATTATTTTTATCAATATATGATCAATTAACATTCCAGTCGGTAATCCCTTCCCCAGGCATACTTCACCAAATCGGCGTTCTCAGCATCATTGCCCAATGACGTGAAGGTATTGTTTGCTGATACCAATGTGTTCACAGTCTCATTGAACATTTTCTTGGAGAGAATGAATGAGAAAGATATCAATCGAGTCCTTCGGGCATTGGGTCAGTCCTTGAAAACACTTTGTGATGGTGAAGTGTCAGAGAAGTGCATTGCAGATACCAACAGTGCTATCGAACGACTTCAGTTGTCTGCAGCAGCGCTTCCACATGATTCAATGCATCGTGTCCCTGCGCTTCAGTCAGCAGACTTCTTGATTGTGTTTGTGAAAGCAGCTGGTGCACATAAGTCTTGTAATACCAGCAAGCCTGAAGATGCATCTATGAAGATCTTGGTGAAGTCTATGGCTGAGTTGAATTCCTACAAGTCGCTCAAGGATACAGTGAATATGGTCATCAGTACGATTGGGAATGGTGCCTCGAATGATGCGGACAAGACACTCTTGCCAACAGCTGAGATGTTGGTCACCACCATCGAGTCATTGATGACTTCATACTCTGCACTGGAGAAGACTTGGGTCGACATTATGGTTCCTCGGAATATTATAATATTATAATAATAATATATTATATTTATATTGTGTAGTATATAATAAGTATATAAGTATGTAATATAATTTATATATAATATATAATATATATAATATATATATATATATTATATACTATTATTATTATCATTGTTATTATTATTGTTTTTTTATTATTATAATATATATTATATATATATAATATATTAATATTATTGTATATCGTTATCATGAATCACAATACATAAATAAAGCAAAGCTTAAGGAATTCCAATGTATACTTATATTGATTGATATTTTATTTTAATTTGTATTTTATTTGAATATAGTATTAAAATTATCAGGTGTAACAACACATAATGGTGTTATAGATTAACTTGATTGTAATGTAATTAATAAAATATAAAATATAAATTGTAATTGATTGTACATCATGTCATTTCTTGATATGTTTATTTATTACAAATTAAATTTAAATTTATGAACACTTGTGTATACATTTGATTAGGCTACTGTAATTAGTATTATTCACTAGTATTGTGTATTCTTCAGTATGTGTTATCATGTGTTCTCATTGTTTAGGAACATATATCAGTAACTGTGTATTCATTTGGTTATGTTCGATAATATATAAATATATATATTATATACTATATATTACATAATATATATATATATATTATATTTATTCTATGTGCTATATATGGATTGTGTTTTTGTTTTGCAATATTTATTATATGTCATACTTATGTTTACAATGTCTTAATATACGTTATTTCACTATGTGATTGTTTCTATTAATTTTGCTTAACCCAATCATCTTCAGGTTGCAGAGATGGACACAATCATGACCAAGATCGACGGCTACAAGATTCCAAACACCAAGAATATCGAATACACACCATCGGATACCAATACTTTGCCTAGCTTGCAGAATGACTTTCCTGAGTTGAACGATTTGGATCCAAATTCAGCTGCGCTTGTCCAAGTTGCTGCAGACCTTAGATCTCTGCTTGGGCGTGTGAAGGACTGTTAGCAAATATTTTTTGGGTTCATAACATTTATTATATATATCTATTATCTAGTATTTTCAACTATATCATTGACATTAGAACATACATACTAAAATTCATACCAAGACTCAGACTAAGACTAAGACATTATGATATGATAAAAATTCAACATGAATATCACTGATCATATAACAATATATATATATAATATTGTTTCTCTAGTAAGATTCCCTTGTCAAATCCAATGATATCCACAAACGATGTATATAATAATAATAATATGTTTTTTTGTTTTTTTAAATATTGTTATATTTTTGAGTATTAAAGATTCAATATATCATAAAGAAACAACAACATTATTCATAATCATCATATGTTTCCATTTGCAGGACGTTGGTCTCGTGGAGAAGGTCGAGCCCTACACCAAGGTGTGAAGAGTTGAAAAAATAGTGGGTTCAAACCTAATCATAGTTCATTATGATAACCATCAATACTATTTATTATTAATTATATTTATAATGAATTGTTTTATATGTGCATTTTATGATTAATGATTATACATATGTGATATAATAATATTCGCATATGTCAACAAACCATAGGTAATGATATATTACTATTATGATTAGTTATTATTACATTATTACATATACAACCATTGTTTTCTTGTCGATTCATTTTCTACTGTAAATTATAACCCTGATGCAGGCATCATCAGCTCATACCAACAGTCTGACAGCTCTGGCCATCATCGCAATTGTCAAAGTGTTCCAGATCAAAAGGTTCCGTAAAGCTGTGGAGGCAAAACAGC